GCGCTGCACCTTGCATGATTATAGACGCAGGATGGGGGCGGGTGCTGCACATTTCATGGTTACAGGCGCAGGATGGGGGCGGGCGCTGCAACTTGCATGATTGTTTGCGCACACGCGCCCAGGTTGCAATGTAAGGGCGGGACACCAGGGCACAGATAAGAGCGGCGCCCAGGCTGACACAGTGCAACATGCAAGGCTGGCCCGCACCTCAAGGGCGAGCAGCGCCATTGGTTCCTCGACCTGTGCAGGCGGCGAGCGGCGGCGGGCGGCGGCGGCGGTGCAGCAGGGCGAGACTCCGCCGTCGGCAACGAGCGGCGCGGGTGCAGCCGCTGGTGCTCGCGGGTCACGCCGTACGGGGTGCGCGGGGAAACAGCGGGCTGCTCCCCCCCCCCCCCCCCATCAAGGCTCACCTGGACCCCGATCTCTTCTATGCCCTGCGGCCCGGCGGGAGGACGGCAGCAATCAACATGGTGGCAGGGGGGGCACGAGCAGGAGGGACACAATTTGACAACAGGCACCTCTGGCTTGCCGCAGCCGTGCCCTTCGCAATCTCCTCACAGATTCAGCCATGCCACGGCAATCCGGCAGGCGCGCTGTCTATGGCTGGCTCTGAGCCATGCTGAAGGCCACCCTTCGCGGAAACAACGTGACCGACTCTCACCAGCAAAAAGAAGCCCTGGGCAGTAACATACGGGCAGGGGTTGAGGGCAGCCCATAGCGGGTGAGCGCGGCAAAAGGACATTGACTGGCACATCAAGGGGCCTTCGACACAAACAAGGGTGTGGGTGGAGGAACAGGGAGCTCGTTGCGCGCAGCATAGCCCTGTTCAGGGGGTGAGCCAAGAGCCAAACATTGGCCGCCAAACAGCAGCTGCACCCACCAGTATCAGGTCCACCGGCACCGTGGCCCTGCGCAGAATGGTGGAGCACATCAAAAAATTGTGGATTGCTTTGCTTGCCTGATCTGGGTGCTGCCGCCGCTCCTGTGTATGAACACGATAAAGCTGTTGGCTTCTAGCGGCCCTGCGCCATATCCCCCAACCCAGCACACGCTTCACCAGGCGTTCGCCCGGCGCGCACCATCCGACGACCTGCCACGAGCAGAAGGGCAGGGCTGTGAGCCATGTGACGAGGAACCGCGACGTGTGGCGCGAGTAGCTGAGCGGCAGGGGCGTCCTGAGCAGCTTCTCGCACGACTGGAAGGCGCCCTGCGCAAACGGGATGGACAGGGGAAACGAGCGAACCCAGAATGTGGGGAAGCTGCGCTGTGAGTAAGTGACCCTGCCCAGCAGTAGGTCAAACGGGTGAGCCACATTGTAACAGCTACGGGGCGTATTGTGCAGGCAAGTAAGAAGTTTCCGCGAGCCCAGGAAAGGCCGCCCACCTGCAAGCTCTTCAGGTGCTCGTCGAAGCGCCCCTTGGCGTCGCCTGGCAGGCTGCTCCTGCGGGGTGTGCAAGAACAGTCTGGAGCTAGGGGACATGCAGAGGTGGGGGTGTGGCGCGGGAGGCCTGGCCCCCTGAGGCAAGCGATTCAGGGGGTTGCAAGCCGGCACGCTTGCCGGGGCGTATACTAAGAGGGGGCACGCGTCGGGCTCGAGAGCAGGCGGCGTGGTCGCGCCCTCACCTGCCCACGAGGCTGCCGATGACCTGCAGCACCGTCTGCGGCCGCATGGAGGACCGCAGCAGCAGCTGCTGCTCGTGGGGTAGCAGCACCCTGAGGTGGCGGACGCGCGCAAGTGATGTGTATGAGAGGGAGGAAAGTGGGGTGGAGATGCAGGGCTAGCACATGCCGTACAAAGCATTGCACCATGTTTCCTTGCCCTTGACATATTTGTGCATGCACTCAATTTCCTTCTCTCATGCCCTCCACACCAACAAACTTGCAAGCCACCTTGGATAGTGCCGCATGTTGCTGCAGCTTGCCCGCAATCTCAGCGACGCACCACCCCGCCGCATCCCGCTCAGACGCATGCCGCAGGTGCACGCCCCCACGCGCGCGCTTGCCCTCTTTAGCGGGCCCCTCACCCCTGCAGCAGCCCCTGCAGCGCGCCCTCCTCCTCCCGCACGTAGCACATGACGGCGACGGGGAAGGCGCACAGCCACCGCCGCAGGGCGCGCTGCACACATGCGTCCTCCTCGGGCAGCCGCTGCACCGCCAGGCGGCCCAGCTGGCAGCAGTCAGTCACAATAGAGCTCCACGCCGCGTTGGCCTCGCTCCACCTGCGGCGGCGGGCGGGGGACGGGGTCGTGACAAGGGAGCCCCTCAAGAATGGGCGCAGCTGAGGGGGGTCACCGACGGCTGCGGGTTTTCCCCGTAGGGCAGTCTTCTGGCATCGCTGACGGGGCTAGCAGTGCCGTATCGCAGTGTTGGGTGGCTGCCGATGCTTGGCTTGCAACCTTGTTTGAATGCAGTTGTGCAGCGCCTACCTGTTGTAGCTGCTGTTGGTGCGGAACACGAGCAGCAGCGACAGCGCAAAGGTGGAGATGGAGAAGGGCCCGGAGGGCGACACAGCCAGGTCCGGCCAGGCAGCGTCGGGGATGATGCGAGCCAAGACGCCGTCCGCCAGCAGCGTCTCTGGTGCGCGGCGTTGGGGGGGCGGGGTTGGAGCGTGGAGGGGGCGGG